CATGATATCTCATTTCGCCATATGTAGATGATAAGTCGGACAGCAACTCCCGTAGGCACGTCCGAGCATTGTTTCCGAATTTCGTTAGCGTTAGGGGAATTTCTGTAATCCGAAAGAAAGGGGGGGGGCGGTGCGGAGGGCTGTCCTGCGCTTGATCTTGTTTTCTTCTTTGTTTTTGTGTTTTTTTGGTTTGTTTTGTTCTCTTTTTTTTATTCTTTCGGGCACTTTTTTTTTTTTTTTTGCTTTCTTTCTTTTTTTGTTTTGTTTGTCTCTCTCTCTTTCGCTCTTTTTTTTCTTTCGCTTTGTTTCTCTCTTTCGCTCTCTCTCTCTCTCTTTCTTTCTTTCTTTCTTTCTTCCTTTATAACCTTCCCCTCCATCCTTTCCTATCTCCTCCCTTCCCCTTTCTTCTTTCCTCTTCTTCCCCCTTCCCTCCCTCCTTCCTCTCCCTCCACCCGCCCTCCTCCATCCCCCCTCCACTCCCTTCCTATCCTTCCTCCTCCCCTCCCTTCCCTCCACCCCTCCCTCCCTCCCTCCCTCTCTCCCCTCCTCCTTCCCCAGCTGATAGTGACGTCATAGGTGAGTCAGTCTGCCCGCCCTCCTCCGCGGCCTCAGTTGCGAGGAAGCGGAGGAAGGTGAAAACGTCTTTAATTGAAAGGAAAGAAAGGAAAAGAAACCTCTCTATGATGTTAAAAAATATATGTATTGGTAACCATAAGTTTCAGTTTGTCGTCTTTCGTAATGAGTTGAATGAGGGAATTTTTTTCTTCTTCTTCTTCTTCTTCTTATTATTTTTATTATTTATCTTTCTCCTGCTCCTATTTCTACTCCTACTAGTCCTTCTCCTTCCGTCTTTCCCTCCCCCTCCCTCCGTCCGTCCCCCCCCCTCCTCCATATCCCTGCATCCCTCTCACCTCATCCTTCACTTTCCATGATTCTCTCTTCATTGAGCGCATCGTCAAAGAGTGTATGTTCTTCTCTCTCTTTCTCTTTCTTTCTCTCCTCTCTCTCTCTCTCTCTCTCTCTCTCTCTCTCTCTCTCTCTCTCTCTCTCTCTCTCTCTCTCTCTCTCTCTCTCTCTCTCTCTCCTCTCTCTCTCTCTCTTCTCTATCTCTATCTATCTCTCTCCCCTCTCTCCTCCTTCCTCCCCCTCCCCTCCCCCCCCTCCGGCCGGCCACCGGATGTCGCCGCCGCCCAGCTTCCCCTCGTGGCCCGCATGACGATGCGCTGGGTCCGTCACGACCGTAGTCATGAGGCGCCCGCCATATCCCGCGACGTCGTAGTCATGAGGCCGCCGCCATATCCCCGACGTCGTAGTCATGAGGCGCCGCCATATCCCCGACGTCGTAGTCATGAGCGCCGCCTCGGCCTCGGCCCCTTGCTTACCGCGTTGCCATGAGAGCCGTGACGTCACTCCCGAGCTAGGATGACGCAATCGGAGGGGCGGTGACGGCGTCCCGATCGCCGCCGTGTGTCCGCCGTCGGTGCCTCGGCCGGTCGAGGTCTGGCCTTGGGCGTGCGAGTTTTTTTTCTCTCTCTCTCTCGCCTCCACGCCCCCCCGCTTGCAGGATTTACCCCCCACCACCCATCCCCACCCCGCCCCGCTCTCCGCATGCAGCGAGGGAATGTAGGTGAAGGTAGGACACGGAGGCCGGGGTTGTATGCGTGTTGGGTGGGGTGTGGGGTAGGGGAGGGGGATGTGGGGTGGGGTGGGGTGCGGGAGGTGAGGGGTAAGGGTGGGAGTGTGTGTTGGGGGGGGAGGGGAGGGGGAGGGGGAGGGGGACGTCCCGATTCCCGAAACCGGATGTGGAGCGCATGTTGAGCGAGGCGAGAAGCTGGATCGGAGCAGGGGGGCGTCGCGGGGGGGGGGGGGGGGGGAGAAAAAGAGAGGGGGTGGGGGTCCAGCGGCGAGATCCGACTTGCCGTGTCACAACCCTGGAGCGCGGTGGAAATCTCGCATCTTGGAATGTGTCATGCGCCGGGCCTGACGTGACACGCGGTTCGTTGTCATTCGCGGCCTTTATTATTTATTTATTTATCTATTTATTTATTTATTTTATTATTTAATTCGACAAGAGACTTCACATCCAGACCTTTTTTTTTAACCTGCGCCGTGTTCGCGAGACAACGGCCGCCATTGTAAGCCCGATATCAATTGCAGTTTAATTCCCCAAAACAACACGTCCCGGAATTCACAACAAGGGTGGAAGACGGGGCGCCGCCTCCCTCCTCGGACCGGTTCTCCTTCGTTAGCGCGTCCTCCTTTCAAAGGATCTTGGGGGGGGCGGGGGGAGGGAGGGGTCGTGAGGAGGAGCCCGGATAAGGCTACACTGGCTTCCGGGTCTCCGCAGGCGGGGGGGGGGGGGGATGGAGGGAGATGGCGAAGGCGGGAAGGGGGTTGGAGAGGGGGAGGGGGAAGGGGGAAGGGGGAGGGGCATGGGGGGTGGAGGGGGAAGGTGGGGTGGATATGGAAGGGGAAGGGGGGAAAGCGGGAGTGAGGGTGGAAGAGAAGTGGGGTATAGCAGGAAGGAGAAGGTATGAGGGAGAGGAAGAGAAGGTCGGGGGTGAGAGGAAAGGAAGGAGAAAGAGGGAGGAATATATATATATATATTAAAGGTGTGGCGAATAGGAAGTTGAAGCGAGGGAGAATGAGTTAGGAGTCCCGCGGACGGGAAAGTGGAGGTGGAAGTAGGAGGGGAGGGAGGGTAAGAGGTCGGAGCCACGAGAAGGAAGGAGAGAGAGGAGAGAGAAGAGAAGAGAAGCAGATGAGAAGAGAGACGAAGAGAGAGGAAGATGAGAGAGAGAGGAGAGAGATGAGAGAGAGACGCAAGAGAGAGAGAGAGAGAGAGGGGGGGGGGGGGGAGCTATGCGTTCCGCGAAGAGAGAGATCGAGAAGGAAAAAGAAAGAACGAGAAAAGTGTATAAGGGTTAGGAGTATGCGAACAGGAGACGAGAAGCGAAAGGTATATATAAGGAGGAGAGAGAGAGGAGAGAGGGAAAAGGTTAGAAGTATGCGAGGAGGAGGACGAGAGGAAAGAGAAAGAAAAGAGAAAAGGAAAGGTATTGAGAACGAGAAGAAGAGAAAGGAGCGAGAAAAGAGAAAAGCGAGAGGAGGGATAAGGGCGTTATAGGAGAAAGTATGCGAAGGAGAGAGAAGGAAAGAGAAAGGAGGTAGAAAAGGGGAAGTATGAGACGAGAAGGAAAGAGAAAGGAGGAGAAGGAAGAAAGTGAGCAGGAGGGAAGAGTTAAGAGTATGCGAGGAAGAGGACGAGAGGAAAAGAAAAAGGAGGAGAAAAGGGAAAGGGTGAGGAGGACGAGAAGGAAAGAGGAAAGGAGGAGAAGAGAAAGCGAGAGGAGGGAAGGGTAGGAGTAGCGAGAGAGGAGAGAGAGAAGGAAAGAGAAGAGGAGAAAAGGGAAGGAGGAGGACGAGAAGGAAAAGAGAAAGGAGGAGAAAGAAGGAGAGGTTAGTTAGAGTATGCGAGAGAGGAGGACGAGAAGGAAAGAGAAAGGAGGAAAGAAGAGAAAGGAGAGAAAGGGGAAAGGGTTAAGAGTCCGCGCGGAGGTTATCATTCTTCACTCGTTATTTTTCTTATCGATTGCAGGCGAATTGCGGTCTTTTGAAGGTGTGTTCCGGGTCCGGGAGAGTGTATTTATTTTCTTTTTTTTCTATTTTTTCTATTTTTTTTCCTTTTTTTCTTTTTTCCTTTTTTTTTCTTTTTTCTTTTTTTTTTTTCTTTTTTTTTTTTCCTTTATCTTCTTTTTTCTTTTAAGTTTCCTTTTTCTTTTATTGTCTTTTCCTTTAAGTTTCTTTTTCCCCTTTTTTCCTTTTACATTTTCTTTTATTGTCTTTTTTCCTTTTTCTTTTCCTATTTTTTCCTTTTCTTTTTTTTTTCTTTTTCTTTTTTCTTTTTTTCTTTTCTTTAAGAGGTGTAGAGTCCGCGGCGGTTAAAGGAATGGGGTGTGTGTGTGTGCGCCGTTGCAGAGAGAGAAGAGAGAAAAAAAACGGGATTTTGATTTGACATTTCTCTTGCAGATACGATTCTCTCGAGGAATCGAAAAAAAAAATGGGATTTTGATTTGACATTTCTCTTGCAGATACGATTCGTTCGTGTGTTTTTTGTTTGTTTGTTTGTTTTGTTTTTTCTTCTTCGTCTGCTTTTTCTACTTCGTCGTCGTCGTCATCTTCTCGTATTATTATTATTATTATTATTATTTATTATTATTATTATTATTATTATTATTATTATTATTACTTTCTTTGATATCGACGAATTTCATCCATTCATCTCTCTTTGCGTAATCGCTTATTTTATTTTCCCTTTCCTTCCTCATTCATTCATTCACATCTCCCTTTGCGTAATCTTTTCTTCCCTTTCCTTCATTCATTCACTTCTCTCTTATTTATTTTCCTTATTCCTTCACATTTATTTTCCTATTCTTCACTTCTCTATTTATCTCCCTATTCCTTTTCCACGTCTCAATCGCTTATATTTATTCCCCCTCTTCCTTCACATTCATCATATCTTCTTGCGTAATTGCTTATTTATTTTCCCTTTCCTTCATTCATTCACTTCTCTCTTATTTATTTCCCCTATTCCTTCACTTCTCTCTTATTTATTTCCTATTCCTTCACTTTTCTCTATTTATTTCCCCTTTCCTTCCTTCATTCATCCCCTTTGCGTAATAATCGCTCATTTATTCATTTATTCCCCCTTTCCCCTTGCAGGCGATGTCGTGGTCGTGCCGCCCCTGGAGAGGAGCTACAAGGCGTAATAATCGCTTATTTATTTATTTCCCCCTTTTCCTTCCTTCATTCATTCACTTTCTCTATTTATTTTCCTATTCCTTCATTCACATCTCCTTTTTTTCCCTTATTCCTTCCTTCATTCACATCTCCCTTTGTGTAATCGCTTATTTATTTTCCTTTTCTTTCCTTCCTTCATTCATTCACATCTCCATTTGCGTAATAATCGCTCATTTATTTATTCCCCCTTTTTCTTCCAGGCGATGTCGTGGTCGTGCCGCCCCTGGAGAGGAGCTACAAGGCGCGGGTGCTGGGCCACTACCCCGACCACGCCCCGACCGCCATGCCCTTCGACAACCACGCGGTCCAGATGGTGAGTAGGAGGGGGGAGAAGGAAGGAGGGGAGGAGGGGGGAGGAGAGGTGGGGGAGGGTGGGAGTGGAGGAGGATGGGAAGGGGGAGGGGAGGGGAAGGGGAAGGGGGATGGGGATGGAGAGGGAGGAGGGGGAGGAAGATGGGAGGGGAGGGGGATGGAGGGGGAAGGAGGAGGGAGGGGAGGAGAAGAAGAAAAGAGAAGAAAAAAAAGAAGAAAAAAAGAAGAAGAAAAAAAAGAAGAAAAGAAGAAGAAGAAGAAGAAGGAAGGGGAAGGAAGGTGGAAGTGGAGAGTGGAAGGTGGGCTGTGAAGAGAAAGGACGAGGAGAAGGGAAAAGAAAGGAGAGGGGAGGAGGGAAGAGAAGGAGAAGGGGAAAGAGTAGGAGGGGCAGAGAAGACGGTAGAGAAAGAAGGAAATAATAGAACAAATGATAATTAAATAGATGAAGATAGAATAGATATAGAAGGAAAAGAGTGCGTGAGAAAGAGACAGAGAGAGAGAGAGGATCGCCAACGAAATCCCTCCCCAAAAGGGTATCCTGCGTGGGAATGACCTTTCGTTCCGCCGTTTTCCCGAAGGATCCGATGCCAATATGATTTTATCCTTGATTATTCATCGTTAATGGACGTTCGTGTCATTTTACACATCGTATTAGTGATAATTGCAAATCTACAACTAATAATCACCACCCATGAACGCCAATAAAGAGCAATAAAGAGGTAAAATTAGATAGTTTTGTATGGGCGAAAGTTGCGTGGACGGAGAAGGATGAAGGGTCACGTGATCGATGACGTAATCGCGGGGTCCGCCTCCTTACTTCCCGCTCGACGCTGTGGCTCGGATGCATCTGAGGGAGAGTTGATGTAACGGTTTATTAGCCAGTCAGGGGGATTAATTTAATTGTGGGGAGAGGGGGGAGGGTGGTGTATGCTGCTGTATTGATTTATTTTGTAGGTTTTGTATTTTGTTTTGTGTTTTTTGTAGGTGTTGTATTTTGTTTTATTTTGTGTTTTTGTAGGTTTATTTGTTTTAATTGTTTTGTAGGTGGTGTATCTTGTTTTATTCTGTGTTTTTGTAGGTATTGTGTTCTGTTTTATTCTGTTTTATTTTTTTGTAAAGTTTTTTTTGTTTAACTTTTCGTCGTTGGTGTAACGGTTTCTTAACCTGTCAGACGAATTCGTTGCATTGTTAGATTTTGTTTTGGTCTTTATTTTTATAGGTATTGCATTGGGTGGTCTTTTATTGGGATTAATTTTTATTATTATTTTGGTTATTATTATTATTATTATTATTATTATTATTTTTTATTATTATTATTATATTAATTATAATTATTATTATTATCATATCATCATTATAATTATTATTATTTAGTTTTACTTTGTCTCGAAGGAAAGTTGATGTAACTACTTATATCAACTAGATTAATTTTTTCGTGTATGTTATTGTACTTTGTTGTATTTTGTTGTATTCTTTATTTTTTGGCAGGCTCTCTATTGGGCTTCTTTCTCTATTTTGTTTCGTGTTTCGAAGGAAAATTTATATAATGGAGGCTTACCCTGTCGAGGAGATTGAAAGGGAAAGGTGTTGTATTATATTGTATAATTCAGATGTAGGGATACGTCTGCAAGGGATATTTACGATAGGATTCATAATTGATATTCATTATTGTATTTTTATAAGTGCGTGTATTAATTATTATTGTATTAATTATTATTATTTTTGTTATTTATTTATTATTTATTATTTATTATTATTATTATTATTATTATTATTGTTGTTTTGTTGTTGTTGTTGTGTTGTTGTTGCTGTTGCTGTTGTTGTTGTGTTTTGTTTTCTTTTTCTTTTTCTTTAATTGCGTGTATTTTTCTTTCTTTCTTTTGTTAAATGGGTTTTATGAAGCGAGTATTATTTTCATCCTTTCACTGTGGACTGGCTTATGTCAAGGGAGACAGTCACGTGACTCGCCTGATCGGTGACGTCGGCTGAGAGTGGGCGTCACTTTTCTTTTCTTCCTTTTCATTCTCTTCTCTCTCTGTCTTTCTTTGTTTTTGTCTGTGGCTTCTCATTGTCTTTGTTTTGTTTCTCTTCTTTTGTCTGTCTCTTTGTATCTCTCACTTTCTCTTTCTCTTTGTCTGTTGTCTGTTTTCTCTCTTCTCTCTCTCTCTCTCTCTCTCTCTCTCTCATCTCTTCTCTCTCTCTCTGTCTCTCTCTCTCTCTCTCTCTCTCTCTCTCTCTCTCTCTCTCTCTCTCTCTCTCTCTCTCTCTCTCTCTCTCTCTCTTCCTCTCTCTCTCTCCTCTCTCTCTCTCCTCCCCTCTCCTCTCTCTCCTCTCTCTTCTCTCTCTCTCGTCTCCTCTCTCCTCCCTCCCCCCCCCCCTCGACACTCCTTTTTCCGCTCTCGCGCGCGCGTGTGGTGTGCGCTCGTCTTCGTGCCAGTCGGGGGATTCCCCGTGCAAGCAGGAGGGGGTCTCCTGCTGTCTTGAGACGCAGCTTCAACGCAGCTTCATCTCATTAGTCTCTTCCTCGAGCACTTTGCCCATACGCTCCTGCCCCTCCTGCCCTTCCTGCCCCTGCCCTCCTGCCCTTTCCCTCGCGTTCCCTCCGGCGAGCTCTCAGGCACGCGTCGGGATCCTTCTCTGCCTCCTGATCCTGCTGCTGCTCTCCTCCTCTTCCTCTCGGCCTTCGCTTCTTTTCCTCTGTTTTTTTTTTTTTTTTTTTTTTTCGTTCTCGTTCTCCTTTCGATTTCATTTTCTTGGTAGAGTTTGGCTTCTTCGTTTTTTTTTTTTTCTCTTCATCTTCCTTCTGCATCTCTCCTCCTTTTCCTCCTTCTCTCTCTCTCTCTCTTTTTCTCGTTCTCGTTTCTCCCTCTCCCTCCCCTCCTCCCTCTTTTCTCCCTTCCACCCTCCTCCTCCCTTCCCTCCCTTCCTCCCTCTCCCTCCCCTCCTCCCTCCCTCCTCTCCCCTTCCTCCTCCTCCCTCCTCTCTCCCTCCTCCTCCCTCCTTCTCTCTCCTACCCTTCTTTCTCCCTCCTCTCTCCCCCTTTCCTCCCTCCTCTCTCTCCTCCCTACCCTTCTTCCTCCCCCTCTCCCCTCCCCCTCCTCATACATTCACCTCCATGCAAGCGCAGTATATATGCTGTGTATAAGCTTGCATATTTCTCTCGAGTGCTCATGTCGTCACACATATATATCGCGCAATGTTTGTACTCTCCGCACCTCGCTATCCTGTTTCACCCTCTCCCCCTCTCTCTCTCTTCTCTCTTCCCCCTCTCTCTCCTCTCTCTCTCTCTCTCTCTCTCTCTTCTTCCCTCTCTCTCTCTCCCTCCCTCTCTCTCTCTCCCTTTTCTCTCTCTCTCCTCCTCCTCTCTCTTCTCCTCCTCCTCCTCTCCCTCTCTCTCTTCTCCCCCTCTTCCCCTCTCTCTCTCCCCTCCCCCTCTCTCTCTTCCCCTCTCCCTTCCCCCCTCACCCCCCTCTTAAGTCTTGCACCTTCCCTGAGGTTGCATTTCTTGCTCATAGATGTCGCTGGGGGAAACAAGCCGAGACTAACGATGAAAGTGAAAGTGTGAGGTAAATGTGTTTGTAAATGGAATTTATTTATTTTATATATGTATATATATATATATATATATATATATATATATATTATATATATGTGTGTGTGTGTGTGTGTGTGTGTGTGTGTGTGTGTGTGTGTGTGGTGTGGTGTGTGTGTGTGTGTGTGTGTATATGTATATATGTATGTATATATGTGTGTATATGTATGTGTGTGTGTTGTGTGTGTGTGTGTGTGTGTGTGTGTGTGTGTGTGTGTGTGTGTGTGTGTGTGTGTGTGTGTGTGTGTGTGTGTGTGTGTGTGTGTGTGTTATATGCACATGGATACACACATATCTATACATGCATATATACATACATACATACATACATGGACATAAACAGGCATGTATAAATAGATTTATACTCATACACATATATGTATGTATATAAATCAAACGTTTATCAGCCTAAGATGTGTGCATTAACCCCCCCCCCCCACCCCTGCCTGAGTCAGCGCCGAGTCCCGCCTCAAGATCTCAGTGGAACAAGGCGCTTCCTCCCTGCTTCAGCTTCAGGTCCTGCAGCTTGCAAAATGGCTTCCCTCGCGACCCCAGGGACTTAAAATATGAGAAACGGCATTTTTTTTTTTTCTCTCTCTCGCCCAGTATTTAGTCAAAATTCTTTACGATGGGCATTTTTTTCTCCCTTTCTGTACAACCTTGGGAGTGCACTTTCAAGAGCAAATAATGAGTAAAGGCCTTTTTTTCTTTCCTCTCAACATACCTGGGGAGAATATTGAGGATTTTTCCTTTTTTTTATTCTCTTCGCTTCTTCACCTTTATATACGCTGGATGGGAGAGTTATTTAGGACTTTTTTTAAGCAGCCTAAATTTGGATGGCAATTTTTTTTTTCTCTCTCCGCCCACAACCTGGGGAGTTTTAGACTTTTCAAGAGCCTAATGAGTGATTTTTTTTCTCTCTCTCTCTCTTTGCCCAGATACAAAACTTTCTCTTCTCTCCCACAAATGGGGAGTTTTTATTAGGATTTTTCAAGAGCTAAACTATGAGATTAAAGGCTTTTTTCTCTCTCAGCAAAAAACTAGTATTTAGGACTTTTCAAGATCTAAATATGAGAAAAGGCATTTTTTTCTCTCTCATGGGGAGTATTTAGGACTTTTCAAGATTTCAAAACCTGGGGAGCTTTCTAAGAGCCTAATATGAGAAAAAGGCATTTTTTTCTCTCTCGCCCACAAACTTTGGGAGTATTTAGAACTTTTTTCAAGAAGCCTCGGTCGGGAGTATTTAGGACTATTTAAGAGCCTCGGTATCGGCTTTTTTTTGGTGGCCTGTATTTCTGTCTTCCGTCGGCGATTGCAGCCAACGTAATCGGATGACTTGTTGGCATTTAGAATGGAATTATTTGTTCTACTTCTCATTGTTGCTGCTTCGTGACGGGCGACAATGGGCC